CCCCCCCCCCCCCCCGCAAGAAAGGAAACAAAGAGGACCCAGGAATTGTGGAAAGATATCAGAGCAGCCAACGAAACGGGCCGTTGCCAATATTTTGCAGATGAGGCCATGACAGCTAAGAGCCAGGACAGCTTTGCCAGTCCTGTGAGACAGACCCGGCCCTTCCCTGACAGGGCGACTGTTCTAGTGCGCGAGGGGGATGCCGGGAGATGACCCCCTTGATTTCAGCAAAGCTTGGGTGCGACTCCATCTGACTTGCTCATCGGGGAGCAGTTCAGGGGCGGTTTGGATGGGACTGTACCGGGCGCAGAGCCGGTGGGCTGACGGTGCTCCCTGGAGGCATTAGGTTAGGGTGGCAGCCACGGCACACGACAGCTCTGGGCAGGGCTCGGGCGTTCTGGGCCACACCTGAGACGCGGGGAGACCGTTCCCCTCCACTCTGTACTATACTTCAGGCCAGGCATGAGCCCCGCGGTTCAACTGTGAGCCCCTCAGAGCTGGTTCAGAGGAGGGAGCAAAGATGATTCGGGACCCGAGGAGATGCCCTCCGAGGACGGTGAAGGACCTGGGGATGTGTCTTCAGGAGAAGGAAGGTGGAGGAGAGGCAGGACAGCCCCGTTTGGGTCCATGAAGGGGAGCCACTCGGAAGATGGCCAGGAGCCACCAAAACCAGGACCAGAAAGAGCCGGTCCACGTCGCAGTAACCTAGATCGTATTTCAGGGCAAAGAAGAACCTCCGGGGCCAAGATCTGCCCCCTTAAAGAGATGCAGGGATGCTGGGAAGTTCTCCCCTAGCAGCGGAGGTGCAGAGGTGCTGACGAACACACACGGAGCACGCCTCCCGTCCCTGGGAACCAAGGAGCCTCGTGAGGAAACATCCGTTTAACAAACGCCCCCGGCCTGCCTAGGCGGTTGCGCCCACTCTCCAAAGGGCCACGTGGGCGCGCCCTGCCTTTGGGGAGGGGCCGCAGCGTGCCTGATTTGCCCTTGCTGGGGCAAGGCTGTGCACAAACAGGCAAGCGCAACTCACCTTGCACACCTGCCAGGCGTAGAGCAACAGCTTCCTGAGGTCCAGCCGCTCCTGGTTCTTCTGCAGGTAGCCCCGCAGGCAGCCGCTGGGCAAGTATTCCATGACCAGCCGGAGGCTGTTCCGACCTGGGCCGGGGCAGAGCAAGTGCGGGATTAACTGCGGGGGGGGGGCGGAGGGACCCCCACCCCCAGGAGCCAACCGTGGGAGACGTGCAAGCTGGGAAGAGTAGTGGGGCTGCCAAGATCCAAGGGCCCGGGGCCTCCAGGGAGGGCGGCCGGGTGGTCCTGCGCCCTGCAGTCCAAGGCCTCCCAGCATGGCCCAAAGGGGGTGGGGGCCCTTCCCACCGCCTGACTGTCCGCCCCATGCAAAGAGGCCCCGTTTGGCCCTGAGGGCCGGTTCTGCCCTCTTGCTCTGCGCCTGATGCTCCCTGGACCCCCCAACACCTTCTTGGAAACCGGGCGCTCGTCCAACGGATCCCCAGCCTGATCCCTCCAGCAAGCAAGGGGGACAGCAGCTGGGCGGGGAGGGGCAAAGGGGGCCCACAGCCAGCCCCCCGCTCACCCCGGCTGTAGGCCACGCCACGGCAGGCGACGATGAAGTCGTGGGTCAGGGAGCGCAGGATGGCGATCTCGTGCTCGAAGTTCTGCTGCTGCTCGGGCGAGGTCTGCTGCAGCTGCTTCACTGCCACCAGTTCCCCCGTGCTGTCCCCCAGGGGGTCGTATCGGCACAGCTCCACGCTCCCAAAATTCCCCTGTGGAGGAGGAGGAGGAGGAGGAGGAGGAATTTTGAGGCTGCCTGATTCCTCGCTGCTCTCGGCGGTTTACAGTTTAAAAAGAGGAATGTCTGTCCTAAAAAAGCACCCATAGCCCACGAGAAAACAACTGAAGACCCCCGCCTCCGATCCCAAGGCCCGGGAAAGCCCCCCTTTTGGAATATTGGGGGGGGATATCCAGATCTCTGGGTTCCAGGGGGCAGGCTCTCCCCTCAGCCCCAGGACTCGCGGCTCTTCTTGGTCTCTGCCTGGGCAGAGGGCGGGGTGGTCCCTCCCCCCTGTCAGCTGCTCTGCAAAATGGGCACAGCTACCCCCAGCTGGCTTTGGGGGGCTGCGCTCAAAGACCCCCATTCTGGAAGGCGCCAGGTGGCTCCTGGAAGCTCCAGCACCGGGCGGAGAGATGCCGCTGCCTCCCGTCCCAGCCTCTCTGGGCCGGGGCTGCGCGAACCCCTTCTTGCCCTGCTGCTCCTTTACCTGGCCCGCCTCTTGATTTGCTCTAATGGCCCTCTGGTCAAGCAGAAGCTTTGCGAGGTCTGCAGGAGGGACCGCCGCCTCGGGCCGCCTCTTCCCGCCCCTGGCAGAGTCTCCGAGCAGTGTCTTTCCTCCGGGAGGTGCCTGCGGCTGCGCGGCTGGGGGACCTGGTGCTCCCTCCCGTGACGCCCCAAACAGTTCTCCAGCCCACCCATACCTTGCCTAGCACGGAGATGTATTTGAGGTGCCGGTCCTCAAAGACGGTGGGATCCTGGCCCACAAGGTCATCCCTGCCTCCCCCGAAGCTGCTGCTGGCCGGGAGATCCGTCAGGAGCTCGTAATCTGAAAGAGAAGAGGGGGGAAAGGGCCACCTTTCAGACACCCCCAAGATGGGGGTGGGGCAGCAGCTCTGGGACCTGGGACCAGTGGTGGGGGGAGCGAGGCAGCTCCTTGGCCTTGCAAGCCATTGGTGGCTTTGGGCCCAACTGGGAGGAAGAGAGCTTCTGGTTCAGAAGCAGTCTACCCCTGAATTTCAGCATCAAGTGGGATGTGGTCTTGGATGCTGGACTGAAGCAAGTTGTGGAGATGGCAGCTAGAGCGAGCTTCTCCCTGGTCAATCGCCCGAGGTGGCAGAACAGGGCTTCCGGGCTCGGGGGCAGTCTATCTCTAAAGCCAGTCTCCAGGGAGGGCTCTGGCCCCAGACCTTGTCCAGCGAGGCCCTGCTCCCTCCCCACCTCAGCATCTGGCCGCTGGGGGTGGGCTTACCGGAAGTGATGAAGCTGTTGAGGTCACGGATGATGGCACGGAAGGGAGGGCGCTGAGGGGGGCAGTAGTCCATGCACTGGGCCACCAGGCCGGCCAGCTCCGTCCACTTGAGGGTGGGCAGCTGGCGGCGCTCCTGGTAGAATCGGAGCTTCTGCGAACAG